CACAGTCATCTTGCATCACCCCTAGTTATGTGCAGGGTGAATCTTGAATGACCAAATCTCTAAAGCAGCCAAATTATATGGGAATTAAGCAAGAAGTTTTGGTTGGATTTTTTTTTTTTTTATTTTTTTTTTTTTAATCTTCCTGAACGTGGTAAACATTTCTGATAATGGGACCTCCTGTTCTTTTCTGTTAATAAATCAACAATTATCAATGAATTAAAATAGAAGAACTTCTCACATGTGAAACCTCTACCTCTGAGGAAGGCAGAATATAAAACTTTTCACTAAAGGATGTTTGATAACATAAACCAGAATCATATTAAACCAAATGGAGTAGATTGTTTCTAGAAAAATGTATGCACCAGTTTTATTAGAGTAAAAAGTGAAAACAGGATCATCTTTAATCATTCAAATGGTAAGAAAGAGCCTGTTTCAGGATCAAATACATGTGAAATTTCTTTATAGAGAACAAAAAGCATCAAAATGCATTAAAAAAACCCACAAACCTCACAACATTAAAAGATTACAGAAAGGCAGTAATCCGTATAGTATTTTTTGGAGCCAGCTATTATCACTTGCTTTCAACTCCTGGAAAGATCAGTATTCTCCAGTTTGATTGGTGACTGGTCTGAACTTATCCTACTTGCTTTTAGGAACAAAGACAAGAGAATGGCTACCTCTATTCATCTATTATTGTTTAAATAGCTGTCACAGCTTCCAGGATGTCTGTTTCCATGTTATCTGGTGAAAGAATAAAATAGAATGGCAAGAAACCAAATACAGTGAAAAATGTTCATTGTATTTGGCCTAAACCAGCTGCTGTTTGCTGATAAAATCTGGTTTGAGCAAAAACAGGTGAATTTTGGAAATTGAGGAACAATGGATGGAATGGATGTGGCATTTACGAATATTTTAAAGATATGTGTCGCCTTCAGACTTGGCTATTATGGTGATTTAGTTCATATGTCAAGGCACATATTCATCTCTGCTCAGATACTGTAGAGGCTTGGGTAACAGCTTGTCCTATCCTTGTTTATTTGTTAATTTATAACATCTCAGTTCCCAGCGCAAGCCAAGGCAGGCCCGGACACTTCTTTGTTCTGCCTCGTTCTTTCTTTTTCTTCCCCTTTCTTTACACTGTTGTGTTCCCAACTCCAACAATGGAGTTGTAGATTGACCCTCTTTCCCCTCTTGCCCTGACTTGTCTTCGAATGCTTCCTTTGATGCGTTTAGACTGAAAATGCCAAATCTCTGTTTCCCAGCAAGGGCTCATCATTTTTGCAGTGTTGCTCTGCTAGTAGGTTAAGAGGAACATTAGTAGTTCCTTTGCAACAGTTTAAAGGATGTTAGACTAATGATTATTTGGAAACAAAGATATCTCATTGTATTGAGAAAAGAGGATGTCTGCAAGAGTAGAAGATTTTTAAATGCTTTAATGGCAAGATTTTTATTATTTTGCTACTAAGATATACGGTTATGTTTTAATTGGCTGTGTTTACAGTGTGGTTTTTCTCAAAAATGCATTTTTTCAAGATTCATTCAATCATCGCTTATCTCACATCCACAAATATCCATGCTTCCTGTGTATAATATGTACATTTGCTCTATTTCAAACATACTCACACTCAAAGTTTATTTCACATGGGACATCAAGAAAACAAAGTCATATTAGTCTGACTTTTTTTTTCTGAGTTGACGTTTCATTTAAATAAGTTCATAGTAAGTTCAGTTCTCTAGTCTTACCCTTCAGTGTAAATTTGTTTCAGTTATTTATTATAACATAAGAGTTTGGATGTTATTCTGAGTTCATACTATTCTAACCTTTTTTGAGCTACTTTGCCTATTGCAAAACCTTGCCACACATCATTAGGAAAATTTTTACAAACTTCACAACATGTTTTGAGCGTGCACCAAAGTATGGCAAACTTAATATATATTTAACTTTAAAGTAGTAATAAAGTAAAAAAATTAATCCCTTGCTTAAATTCTATGACAAGAACAGTGTTAAGGAGCTTTCTGTATCTCAACAATTGCATAAAAGACTATAGTTTTTAAATGAATTAAGGCTTATGGTATTTTTAAGTGGGTCAATTTTATCTAGTACGTTTTAAGATTTTTTCACAATTTGAGACTTGAAATATTAGTAAGATTCTAAGTTGTCTTAGAAGTATGAGAGGTGATTGTTCCATTTCTCTGATATATCTAGAGGCAAATAATGTCTTTTTTTACTTTACTTTCTCATTTATATGAATCAATTCTACCACGCGTATTACTGATTAGACTCTTTCTTGCTATACCAACGCAAGTCCAGTACCTTCACTAGAACCACTGAGATAAAGAGGACTTTAGCCAAAAAAGCCTTAGTGATGTGACATAGAAGAGGTTTTGTAAATTTTTTTTTTTTTTTTCTTTTTAATATTGTGTAGGAATCATTTGGGAAAGCCATATTTATAGCAGAGGAAAAAGAAGTTTTCAGCCATGCAATAATACTGTGTAGGGTTTATCAATCTATCATCTAACCAGTTTTGTTTAGGTTTTTGGTTGTTTCTTTTGACTAATGGAAGCATAATAATTCTGACAGCAGTTTGGAAGAAAACATTTGGTAATGATTTTTCACCTTAGAATAGGATTTGAGAAGATGAACTAGTAGAATGATCTGAGAACAATAAGTTAGTTTGCAATACCCAGGAATACCTAACTTATTTTTTCTACTGAAGTGGTGAATATTTCCATAACATTTTTAAAAGCTGGAAGAAAATTTATATTTAGGACCAAATTTTAGTCTGTTGCTACAAAATGACTACAGAGATCCTGTTGCTGTCGAGTAGCATGAGTACAGAGGATACATCCAGAGATTACATTTTTCAGAGCCTGCTTTGAGTCTTAGTAAGGTAGATAGGAAATGGTTCAGTAATCTACAGCCAGTTTTTCTCTGCATTTTGTGACATGACTGGAAAACTTAAATATAGCTGAAAAAAACTTCTATGACTCTGAATGGGCTGAAGCTTTCCTTGGTCAACACCCATTCCTTTCACAGTTTCACAAATCTTACCATGGTATGCCTTTGAATGATGACTTTATGAGAAAGCAGTAATTGTGGCACAAACTGTGACAAATAGGGTTTTATTCCTTGTGTAGGCTACTCTCAACCTGAGCCACAATGAAGCAGGAAAAACAGCTTCCGTGGTAGGACAGATATGATCAAAAGTAGATCTTTCCATCTGAGCTACTCAGTTTAGGCTTCTCTTCCAGTTACCAGACACTTCTAGAGGAAGATTTATCTCCTTCTGCAGTAGATGCCTGTTATAGTTCAGAAGGATTAGCACGTTAAACTTGTGTCAGCTTCTCTCCACTGTCTATAGAAAGAGCTAAGTGGGACCAGCCCAGAAGCAGATGTCCAAATGCCTGTTTGGGTATTTTTGTAGAGGGGCATAGTGGCTGAGGCTTTCACTCTAGCACTATAAATACTGGCCAGCGCAACAGGGCTGGTGAGAAAATGGGACACGAAATCTGCACCTGAACATGGTTGATGGAGAGTGATTTCTTCTGGAGTAATGCTGGATGGGGACTGTTGGAATGAACTTGGACTTAGAGTTACATTTTTCTGATTCTGGGGTTGTCAAAGCTTACACTAACCATTTGTAGCTACAGATTTCTATTTTCCTAGTTCTAGACTATGTCCACTTAAGAAAATACAGCGCTCCAGTCAAAAAGAGAGCTCTTTTTAGGCAACTAAAATCAGAGCTTTCATATAATGCAATTCCTAATGTACATGATAGGATAAATAAAGTCCAGAAAGAAAAAAAAAATTAAAATACCCCAACACATATATATCTTATAATGATCAAAGCCCAAATGGAAAAGAGCAAGTCTGACAAACCCTTTTGTAGTCAAATGGCTTTGCAGAGATTTGCATAATACCAAGAGTACATTATGGTGTCCTTGTATTGTATTGAGATACATCAATATGTGTCAGTTAATGACTGAGCCCCTGGTAAGACGAGTATGAATGTGTCTATATATATGTATAGATAGTTTTCCTTTTGAAGAATTCAGATTAACATCTCGTGCAAAGAAATTGACCTAAATTTCTGTATCATATCAACACTAGTCTAAAAATATTTCAAAAAGTAAAAAAAAAAAGCAAACCTGAAACAGGGTATTGAAGTTTCTATTAGTTGTGGGGCTTTTTTCTGTTGTGGGTTTGGGTTTTTTTTCCACTTACTTTATAATCTGTTCACAGATTATCTGTGAAATTTTAATTTTAGAAGTCTTCAAACTGCATGAGTTTTTTCCTGTTGTGATGTCAGAACTGATCGCATCTGATTGTTACAAAGATCCCACTATGGAGTTTAGTACTAATTGTTAGATGTCCATGCTTGCTTAAAAAAAAATTAGGCCAGTGATTGTAACCATGCTGTTAATTTCATGTATTGTTCAGAGTGTGTTTCAATTGTGGGAATCAGGTGTACTTTCTTGATTAAAAATGCATTGAGGGTCTGTAGTTTTTCTATGTTGCAGAATCTTCTGAGCTGTAAGTGAAACCATTAAGAGTGGGAAGGGTTAATTGCATGGGAAGCCTCATATTCAAATACTTCTCGTATACAAAATATATGTCATGCTAGAAAATATTCTATTGTCAATCCAAATAGAACACAAACTAAAATGAGATAATTGGGAAGGTGCCCATAAAGTCAGCCTGAATATATTATCACAAGTATATGTGAGATAATATTTGTTTTAAAAAGATTCTATGGCACTGTAAACTCAGTCTCATTAGAGACTGCATTTAAAAGGCTTATAAAGTTACTCATTAATGTTATCTTGTTGTATCTCCACAGCTTTTTCATTAAAGAAAATTCAGCAGAAAGCATTTTCTCCTGATAGCAGGAACCAATTTGCAATAAATGTTCTGGAAACCACTAGGGAAGCCATTACTGAGGTCTAATAAAAACAGACAAGCGTAACTTGTTCTATATTTTTGTTTCAATCACATACAGATGAGACCCCGCTCTCCACACCAACCGCAAGAGACAGCCTTGACAAACTTTCTCTAACTGGGCATGGGCAACCACTACCTCCGGGTTTTCCATCTCCTTTTCTATTCCCTGATGGATTGTCCTCCATAGAGACCCTTCTGACTAACATCCAGGTAGGCCTTTCTGTAGATCAGCTTAAAAGGATGGAGAGGAGCCAGTTGTAGATTTGTCGAAATTAGTATAACCATTCTAGTTTAGTCAGTTCATGAGATTATTTGGATCAACTAATTTACTGAAACTTTCTAGTAATTTAGGTTTTAAAGGAACCACAGCAAACAAATGAATTTAGAAGCTGTCAGATACAGTACATAAAAATACAGATTGTATATTAAACCACAGCAGAGAATTTGATGAAAATTACATTGGTGTGTTTAACAACATTTGTCTTAAATGCTCTTTTTATTACAGGCTAATGAAATGTATCTTACTGTTTAACTTTATCTCATTTACTAAGCAGAGAAACATTTCTTTAATAAATAGTTATTTTAAATTGCTGGAGTGCCAAGGTGGAAATTATATTTAAAGCTATTTGAAATGTGTCTCCATAAAAGCATTCACAAAAAGCACTTCTTTTTATAAATAAGCTCATTTCACTTAAAGTACTGTCTTCAAAGAATAGACTTCAAAGGGTATTACCAAATTTTCTGCAGATTTCCTATTCAGTGATCATGATGTCTATTGTGTGTACAGTACAGCCTGATTCAAATATTATTTAAGGTATACGCTAGCATGTAGCTTGGAGCCAAGATGTTAGTGTTTCATATTAGAGTGAAGAATTCTTTTGTCCACAAATTCAGTGATCATGTGTTCTGCAGATGCAACTTTTGCAACAAAATGGTTGTGTGTTGCATGCAGAAGCAAAATGGTAGTGCAGGAAATAATGCAGCCATGTTGTACTCATTCCAGATAAGCCTCATCTGTGCAGCTACTAACTTCAAATGTATTTGTCACAATGTTTTTCCCTGCTCATTCCTGCAAATACATAAAATCAATTGTATTCTGTTCAGCAAAAGCTATGACAGAATAGGGCCAAATCCTACTCATTTTACTTTCTTAAGCAATCTCATTAAAGTTCATGGCATTTCAGAGTTGTTTTGTGAAAAGTATGTGATCCTTTCATTGCTGTTGTTTTGAGATCTAATAATAAAAAAATACTGTTATTTAAGAATTAAGTATTGCTATATCTCTCTGGTCTGAAAGAGCATATTTGTGATTGCATCTGGTGGTTCGGAGACGTAGGATCTCTGATGTTTAAATCATAAATGGAGGTAATTCTACAACAGTTAGCATTCTTCTAACAGATCTGCTGCAATCTGTAAATAATGTATTTCTTCATAAAGGAAGAAATACAGTTAGCAAAGTATGTAATGTTTTAGCTGTGCATGCATGTACAGGAAAGTTCTTAGTAATTTTTTTGACAAATGTGTGCACTCAATGTCTCTAGACAGCAACCTAATGAGCAAAGCATTCAGCATCAACAGGTTAGCTAATCTTGTGATTGAATATGAGAGTGCTGCACTACTTCAGGATAAATAACCAGGATTAATTTGCCAAGAATGCATTCAGGTTTGTTTTACAGAAAATGTGAATGTGAAATTCAGTCATTGCTGCTTTTTTTTTTTTTTTTTTTTTTTTTTTTTTTTTTTTTTTTAATAATAAAACACACAAAACCCCTAATCTTATATGAAGAGCTAAAATAAAGGCAACATTGTAAAGAAACCAGAGACTTCTTTATTCCTTCTCTCATTGTGCTTTTGTACTTACTGTTCCTTACCTCCAGGTTCCGCATCGCGACAAATAATCTGTCAGGGCACACAGGTGGGACATAAATCCTTCTGGATTTTTTCAGTGTTTCCCCATGTTGCATTACATGGTTTCTACAGATCTCTGGGGATCCTTTCACATGCCATCAAGGCGTTTTTTCCCCTCATAGATTTAATGTCTATCAGGACAACATCAGAAAATCACTTCATAACAACAACAACAACAACAAAAAAAGCTAGTTTGATTTTCCCACTTGTGTAGACAAAGTTAAGTATTCTCTTTAAAATGGTAGAATCTATTACAATAACCTATGTACAATAGTGGCAGTTTCTCTAATCAATGCCGTTTAAAATTATTTCCATATTTAGCAATTATGGAAATGAGAGGGGGCTACCCCAGGCCCACAAATGAGTTAGATACTGTCATACTGACACTTTCAAAACTGAGTTTTAGGTATTTGACTACAAGTACAAACTCGTTAATGGGATTTGTGGAAAGAGGAGATTCTGTACTATGATCCCTGCTTGCAGTATCATTTGTGACTTTGTTAAGAAATGCATAAGGACTACCTGAAACCCATGATGCGTTTAGCACATGAATCATAAGGACTCTTGTCACTGGGTAAATTCCTCTTCACTCTCCTTTGGTCCAGATGAATTTTGCACCCCTTTCAGTACAGAGATGTGGATTCAAAGGAGAGGTGGAGCAGTAAGATCTCTCACCATTCTCTTGTTGCAGCTATGCTAGCAATGGAGCAGATCTAACTTGCTAGAAGAGATCATCTGGTCTTCAGTCTGTTCCCTGCCTCCAATATGAAGGTGCTTTTGAAACAGAAAATAGCACCGATCTAGCCAAAGGCTAGATGAGAGGTTTTGATAAACGCTGTTCTTTTTTCCCCAGGGTCATGTATGATGAATATATGGATGTGTCCTTTCACAGAAAGGCTGTATGTCTGCCTGTGAAATGCACATGTACATCTTTGCTAGGTCATGGGACTGGGGTGCATGCATGACCTGCCACATGTTGTGGTGGAAGTTGCCTATATTTTAAGGGATATGATGGTCACATGAATACATAGACAAGCAGCCTATGGCTACACCAGAGTGCACGGACGTGATGGTAGACATGTGTGCTGTGATCCCCTTGCGTATATTTAGTTGTGTGAGGTGCAGGAACCAGAGAGTCTGCAGAATGTAGACCTTGGGTGTCTCCAGAATAGGTTGTAGAGCCTGTCTTGGTTTAAAATAGAACAGGATTAGGATACTGTATGGGCACTAGAAGCTCTAATTTTGACCTCTGTCAGGGTAAGGATGATCCTAAACCTTCCACAGAGCTTTCGGATATGTGAGCAAAAATTTCTAAACACTTTTGTTATTTGAAAACAAAATGTGCTAAAAGTCTTGCAGGTGCTGAAGAGCTTAGGTGATTGAACTTGGTGCCCAACTCTACTTACTTCCATTTTAGAAGTCTGAGTCATCCTTTAAAATTGGACACTAAACACAAGTAAATCTCTGTCTTCCGTCCATACTGAAGTTAAATGGATGGTCCCTAATCACTAATTCATAATTTTAGGCAAATGTTAGACAAGCCTATTTGCTATCACTGTCACCAGGGGCTGCTAGGTGGGTTTATTTCCTTTTGCATATCATATATATGTTTTTCTTACTTCTCCATACTTATTGAAACAAAATTACAAAGTTTAATTGTATGTACATTTAAAAAGGAGAAAATAACAATACACAGTACCCAGAACAACCAAAGTTTATTTCTTGCTGAAATGCAAATAAGAGACTGTAACAAAATATTATTAAACAAATACACACATAAAATAAAGAAATGAGATTGGGGACATATTTTCTTATTCAGATGTGTATCTGCACATCTAAAAAGAAGAGAAAATAAATTTCCCCAGAGAGTTTAAATTAAGTGATATATCTGTTCCTTCCCAATGTGTATTTGTTGATTTTTTTGCAGATTAAATGCTGAAAGTCTATGTGCAGCTGCAGGGAGGATGAAGGGTGGTGAAAGGTGGGTCACAGCAAAATGCTGTGTGGGTAATAGTGAGAAGGCTAAAGATGTTTCCATACCCCTCGCATAAGTTCACCTTTTTGAGTCATGGCCTAGTTATGTTACAGCCACAGCCTTTCATGATACTGCAATATTCTTGGGTAAAAGTAATGTTTTTTAAGCTTTTAGAGTCTGAATCTTTACTGTCCCTGAGCTGAATTTCCACTAATATCTAAGGGATGAATTAGTTGCACCCTGAAAGCCATATTTTTCTATCAATCAAGACTGTATTTTATTGACACAGTCTCTTTGTTAAGTATTTTTAAGGAGATATGTAAAGTAGCAAGTATCCCATTGATATTAATAAAAGAAATGCATGATTACAAACTAAATTCCCTTATGACAACAAAACAAACTACTGGCTTTATTGCTGTGAGCCTCCTGCACTGTTATCATCTATGACTAAATACACCAGAGAAAAATATTGCAAGCACTGGATAAAGTAAAAACCACAGGTTTACTTCTTGTTATTTTATTTATCTTCTGCTAAAATTCAGGAGAATTACTTAATTTTTCATGGAAAGTGTTAATGGAAAAATGTCATTTATACTTGTGCAATATGCCTTTACCTGTAATGGAGATATTCAATCTGAGATATTTCAAAAATGTCTTTCTGGAGTTATCTGTAGAGATAGTCAAGCTGTGTTATCTTACTTTGCTTATGTTACTAAGTCACTAGTCAGTTACAAACAGCAAATTTTCAAAAATTAACCTGTAAAGTGAACTAAAAGGGTATATATTGATTTTTTTGGTAAGTCTTTCACTAGATAGTTTTAATGATGAGAGCATAAAAATTATATATAATTTCCTCACTAAAAGAGAAGCAGTGTTATTTGAAAGTGTTTTCACCATGTATAGCTAATACTGCAAAAGGAAGCCCCTGAACTACAAATCTCTGGAACGTGGGAGGTTTGACTAGGAAATCTTCACTGTATGGATGCCTTGTTCTTCTAGTTTTCCTTTTTCAGTCACTGTGGGCAATTGATGGAAACAGGATATCATCTTCTAGATAGCCCATGGACTAACTAGTAACGCCATTTTGGTGTCACATATAACTGTGTAGCTAACTAAATTACCTTAGGTGGAATACACTATAGATATAGCTAGAAAGAGAAAGAGCTTCTGTATCCCTTCCCCTTCACCCCTTTCAAAATAAGCAACACATTATTTGTATTTTTAAAAAATAATGATGGGTAATACTGGCTTTTAGGCTGAGTTCAGGTTTGATTTATGTTTCATTTCTATAGTATCAGTAGACTGCCCTAACATGATGGTGGTTTTGGATACACCTGAGAATGAGGAGAAATATCAACCATATATCAAATTAAATTTTTGTTTGGCACAATTCTGAAGAATTTATTAATGGAAAATATTAAAACAAGTGCATTAAAATAAACAAACCAAATCAGAATGATCTATAAATCTCTAGGGGGAAAAAAACCCACCATTTTTGACCTTATATTAAAATACAAAAATATTAGTAACAGTGATACAGAGAGGAAGAATGACATGACATGTTTAAAGCCTGGCTCCAGATAGAGCCATACTGTATTAAAAACAAATCTGGAACCTGAGCATGTTCACCACAATTATCATTATCCAGCCTCCATAACATCTGACCTTCCCTAAAGGGAAATATTTTCTTTTTCTTAATGTCCTGTGTTGCACTGCATTTCCCATTGTCATTGGCAGCATATTGATTTAATATCAGGTTAGAGGATTAGCCATAGCAAATACAAGTTGGACATACTGTATTTTGTAGAATCTTTTACAGCAGATCCACTGGGAGAATTAATAGAATTTCATGCAACTCTGAAATTGCTATTCCTGTTCGAAGGGGCACTGATGGTTTTTAGATGCTGTACTTTTTAGTTGTTTTTCTCACCCCATTCTGTACTGAATACAGGGAGATATTGAATGTTTCCAGTATTTTTGCACTAGAGCTGTCATTGGCAGCAACAGCACTTTTGCATATGTATCAGTTTGGCTCTAGTGCAGATTTTTTTTACATTGGACGCCTACTGATGTGCACTGATTTAACTTCTAAAAATGAAACTTAATTTTGTGTAGCTTATAAGTAGTCCCTAGTGGGTCTTGGATCCAAAAAGCTAATATTTTTCAGACATAATCAGCAGCAATAGGTAATGTATTACCATTAGCTACGTTAGCAGCAAGTATAAAAAAAGGAAAGGTTGGGGGAGGAAGTGTGGTGTAGAAATTCAATAGAAAATGTAATATGCTTTTAGCAGCCTCGTACTTTGCAGCAATTCTTAATATAAAATTACACACAACAGTGTTACACTCTAGCATTATTCTCCATGTTTATTCATAATGATTGTTTCATATTTAAAGAACACCAAAATATTATGTTTTGTCAGCCAAGGACAATAATAATTTAATAGTAATTTATTTTAAACTGCTACTGATAATACAACCAATCAACACATTAAGTGGTGCCAACATTGGCATCTTGCTAAATAATCTCTAGGCTTTGCACTGAGAGTACATCTTTCAAAGATAAGTCAACAAGAGCAATCAGAGCAGAAAATTAGAATTTGGTATCTTAGAATTAAAATACAGCTAAACTAAAGTTTTAATTGGGGTGATCTAAAAGGGCACTTGATGTAATGATCGCTTTCATTTGTTACTAATTGTTTGTTCCTGATGAAGAAGAAACATGTACACGAATGTAGTTGAATTGAGTAAAGATGGCAGTTGCTTTAGCAGCTTGATTTTATTGTTAAACAAGATCGTAAGAATTTGTGTGGAGGGTGTTTGCAGTTTTAAACTTACTTGACAATACACTTTTCATCAACTAATATTTTTCATGTTATTTCACTTGATCTGGTTTATCAGTGACTTGGATGAATCACATGTTCCAGTAAGTGATGAATTGGAAGAGAATAAACTAGTCTAGAGTTTAAATATGAGCCAGAAGTATGTTTTGATGAACAACCCCTATGTCAATTTTTTACTATTTCAAATGCATCTCATATAGAAAACATAGTTTATGATGGTTTTAAGTGTAGGAGAATATGGTGGGGGAAGGGAACAGAATTCAAGCGGATATTAACTTTTTAAAAAATAGATTAGAAGGGCTTTATAGATATCTCACTTTGTATTTTACTTGGCGTGTGTCTGTAGAGCTTTATATTTAGCTTTATGTGGTTTTCTTTAGCATCATCCAGGTTTAGCATTCAACACAAAATACCTTTGCATTTTAGCTATTTTAGAATAGCATTCGATTCTTTTAAAAAAAACTGCCAAAACTTTAAACATATTTGTAAGCACATTTGTTGTGTTACCATTGTTAGATATTTTCAGATGTGGTTCTATACTTATGTAGTGTATGTTATTTTGATGACCACCTGGGTCTTGCAGTTGGAAGGTGTGGAGTTCTTTCAGTTCCTATGGACTTTAATAGATTGAAGTGTAATAGAGTTGCAAAGCTTTAAACTCTGAATGAGACAACACTTGAGGCAACAATTTAGTTAAGAATGAGGATGAGGAGTACTGAAAATAACAAGCTCTGAAAGAAGACTTAAAAGAAGAGTTTGAAGGACACAAATTTCAAAGCAGGCATTGACATTGGGAAGACTACTGGGATAAATGTGCAGACTAACACTCATGAAAAATACTTTTTCCATTTCTCAAGTATCATCATGCTGACTTATTTTTTCCTACCATTTTGGATATGTTTCAAACAATTTTATTGAAGAAACATGCAACCCAGAATACAATTTAGGAAGTATGCCTGAGGGGTGAGGAAGCTTACTTGGGAGTTGGGGGATGTGATTTCTTGTCTGTAGTGTGGCTGTTCTGAAACCAGGTCTTGAGCGTGAACCTTTTATCTGTTAGCTGAATGCTTCCTTAGCAGAGCTATTGGGGAGTACTCTTCAGTCTCTCTTGTTGGCATTGTTTTGCTTTATATCAGTAATTAAATCTCTGTTGGGTCAAATTATCTCTACAGTTAAGTTGTCAGGAGACTTGCCTAGGATACAGAAGAGCTAGGTTCATATCCATGGAGGTTCATACATGCATATCCATGCTTAATTATCTACTCTATTATGATAGCTTCAAGACAAGAGATTCAGGTGTAGACTTAAGAACTTGATAGCCAGGCTTCTAGAAAATGGAAAAGGAAATATTTCCTCTTTCCATATTCATTTATTTCAATTGCATTTCTCCTCCTCTTTTTCATACCCTATCTTAATGTCCTAATTGTCTAGTTATTAGCTGTGCTGGAATCTTCCTGTTTCCTTGCAAAAAAAGAAGGAATTGTGAAGTTGAAATTCTCAAAAGGAGTTTAGAATAGGCTGAATCATTATTTCCTGATACAATACCAACAAAAAAAAAAAGGTAGAGTTTATTTCAACCATCCCAGGTCAAGAAATTAAGCAATTGTATTTTGTTCTCTGCTGTGAGATAACAATTGTACAAGGTCAGGGAATGGATTTAAAACAGAGATATCTTCCTGCTTTGTGACTGCTAATATCTCAGTAACCCAGTCTTCCTTGGTAACTGTATGAAATATGAAAATATTTGGAAATAACAATAATTAACAACAATAAGGAATAAATGGCAAGCCTTTAAAAGAGTCTTTCTCCCTTTGGTAGCTTCCATTGGCTTATGTTGTGCTAGAGATTGAATTTGCCATTCTGTGGATGATACGATCATGAGATTAGGTTGTCAATTCTCTTTCAATGGGACAGCTTTTCAGTTTGGTCACAGGAAAGTGCCTGACATACGCTTGTTTCTTTTATCTCTTACAAAGAATAAACCTATCCCTATAACTTTTTCACATTAGCAGTATGCACAGTCAAAGGTGAGTTTGCATTTTATGGGTAAACTTGGCACCCAGCTTTTTATAATTTTTGCCCACCTGTTAAAATTAATTCCAGTAAAAATTTGCTGTTGATAATTGGGAGGCTTTGACCCAGTGACAAGATTATTTCATTTGTAAAATCTCATATGACTAATCAAGGAGAAATATCAGAAGTTATTTATTATGTCAGCTGTTCTAACATTCTTCAAACATTATCCAACTTTATCTTTGAACAGGGCCTACTAAAGGTTGCTATAGACAATGCCAGAGCTCAAGAGAAACAGGTCCAACTGGAAAAGACAGAGCTGAAGATGGAGCTCTTCAGGGAACGAGAATTGAGGGAAACACTTGAAAAACAGTTGGCTGTGGAGCAGAAGAACAGAGGTATCTTAATTAAGCAGACATAAACACCTTGTAATTTATTTCCTTAGGACACCAAATTTTTTATCAAACACCTGTGTTTCATCAGAATTTTTCCCACTATCTCATGTTATGTCCAGGCTGAGTGCAGTGCAGGAGGTTTAAGAGCCTGCCTGATTCTGCATAGGATCTTCATGTCATTTAGAACAAGGACCTTCCTTTTTCTCAATGCTTTTCTCGAACGTTACTTAAGTAATACACAACACAATTATAAATACCATAGGTGCTGTTATGGACTTTAGCAGGTTGTAATCATTATGAAAAAGGATAGCTACTTAGTACAAAGACAATTTGTATCAAATTTAAGAATCTGCAAGGTTTTAGGAACTCTTGCTTCTGTTCTTATGTGGTAAGGTCATGCACTGCATATTTAGGCAAACCATATTTAATAAATATAAAGACAATAGTACTACATAAGCACTTTATAATGTGCAGGAGATCAAACACATTTGTAGAGGGAACAGCTAAGGTTCTTACCATCAGCCCACTGTAAAGCATATACATGATAAAGATTTCTAAATCATTTCATTGATAGTAAAGGTAGGGCAGTTTACAGTGATTTGCATTGCCTGTTTGCATTACAGGCATGTTCCTGTCTTTATGGCTCCATTTTTCTGTATACGTATGTCTTGCCCTTTAATAATATTTAATTACTTTGCAAGGGACAGTTAACCTCTGGGGCTCACTTGCTGTTTAGCACAGACCATGACAAGTCAGATACATATTTTTGCAGGGCTAGAATTATAACTCTCTTCTTGTCCAGCTTAATTTTCTGGGAACCAGCTAAACAGGGAATCCCAAGAACACTTGGATTCACAACCAGTGTCAGTATACCTTTAACTAACATGCTAGCAGTAAGTACACAATG